AAAATTTTAAAATATTTTAAGCAATTTTTTTATTTTTTAGACACACCTAACATAAATACACCTAAAAAGTAAAAAAATTGTAAAAAAAATCTTTTAAAAATTCACTAAATACCAAAAATATAAAAAAAAATAAAAATACAAGAATTCAATACATTTTTTGTATTTTTATGTATGTATTAATTTTTTAAAATATTTTTTCACAAATTTTTTACTTTTTAGACACATCTAACTAAGGTGCATCTAAAAAACTAAAAAAAATATTTAAAATTTAAAAAATATTCACTAAAATCAAAAGAATACGAAAACCAAAAAACTTAATCCAACAAAGTCAAACCAAACACACTGATTAGTATTACAAATATTATTATTTTCATTTTTTCATTATAAATTAATTAGTATAAAATTATTTCATTTTTTCCTTATAAATTAATTAGTGTCAATTAATGGCTTATTTTTATTTTTTCATTATAAATTATTATTTTCACTTTTTCATTATAAATCAATTAGTATAAAATTATTTCATTATAAATTAATTAGTGTTAATTAATGGCTTATTTTCATTTTTTCATTATAATTTTTTTTTTCATTTTTTCATTATAAATCAATTAGTATAAAATTATTTCATTATAAATTAATTAGTGGCAATTAATGGCTTTTTGTAATCAATTAATACTAAAATTATTAATTGGTATTAATTAATATAAAATTTATTTTAGTAATGGCTAAAATGCTTAATTATTATTATTTTTTTATTAAAAAAATACTGAAAACCTCTAGAAAAAAAAAAACTAAAAACCCTAGCTCCGGCAATCACAACAGCAACATGGCAACGCTAGGGTTTTGTCACGCCGGCAACCCCTACTTCTTCTCCTCCTCTTTTTTCTCCTCCTCCTTCTCATTTCACCGCCGGCAGCCCCTTGCAAAACCCTAGTCGCAATTGCGAAGAGAGAGAGAGAGAGCTGGGGTTTTGTCACGTCGTCGATCGCGAAAAGGGAGAGAGAGCTAGGGTTTGACACGTTGTCGATTGCAAAGAGAGAGAGAGAGAGCTAGGGTCATGTTACGCGATCGTCACCGTCAGGCTATCTCACGATACCGGAGATCACGAATAGAATGACAGAGAGAGAGCTAGGGTTTCAGAGAGCTAGGGCTTTGCTGCATCTAGTTCGTGCAAGAGAGAAAAAGAGAGAAGAGAGAGAGCTTTGGTTCACTGGTTCGTGCGAGAGAGAGAAGAGAAAAGAGAGAGCTCCATTTCTCCGGAAATCGCCTCTTAGAGACGTGCGTGAGACAGAAATGAGTTTTGTTTAGTTTATATACATGCTACACTTGTAATAACTTAAAATTGTGAGGGGCATTTAAGTCATTTTGCCCCTCAAATGGCAGCTGTGTGCTTAAGCTGTTTGGAAAAGTTTCTTCTCTTCCACTCAAAGAAAAAATTGATTTTTTGCTTAGAAAAAGCTATAATCTGTATTATTAAGCTGAACCAAACATACCAAAATAGCTTATATTAAACTAAAAGCTGAAATAAGGTGAAAACAAGCTCTACCAAACAAGGCCACTGGGAGGTAGTGTTATTTGCTAGAGCGAGATTTCTTGCGTTCGAGCGACTGTCTTTTGTCTGTAAAACTCCTGGGAATTCGTAAACAGGCCACTTTACATCACTTTTTCATATATATATATATATATACATATCTCTAAAATATTTCAAAATCTTAAATTGAGACCCTCTCTCTCTAAAATTCATTTTCTCTCTACAAATACACCTAGCTCTAGGGATTTCTTCACCTTACTCCCTTTGTTATAAAGGTAGAGCTCACCTAGAATTTCATCTTGATTCGAACAAAGTTGGGTTCCGATATTGTTGAAGTTTCCTCACTCTCTCAATCATCTTCTAGCTTTAAGATAGGGATTCTCTACACTCTTTTATGATTTTTAACTTAACTATTTGTTTTTATAAAACGATCTTGTGATTTTGGAGGATTTTGAACAAACCTAGGGTTTTTGTTTAAAATCAAAAGAGGGATTTTCAAATGGATATATTGAAAATGGTTGTGGGGTTGGAAATGAGGTTAAGTTGTGATCAAACTATTGATTTTGATACTTGGAATGGATTTTGGAAGAAAAATGGGTTTTACTCTAAATAGCTCAAATATTTATTTTGTATAAATAAATAGAATTGATATTGAAAATGCGAAATTGGATGGATATTGATATAGATGGTGGAGTTTGATATGTACCATCTCTCACCTTGAAATTTGGGAAGTTTTTCTATATTAGAGATTTTACATCTGTTTAGAAATATCTGTTTTGGGCTATCGGTGGAGGATAGCTATGATTGTTGTAGAAATTACATAAAGATTAGGTAAATTGAAACTAATTTTTCATCCATATACATTGAACATTGTTGCTCATTTAATACATTGCAAATGTATATGAATTTGAGAAAATGGGGTGAACGTTAGAAAGATGTGTGTATCACTGAATTAAGTTAGCTTGTGTGTCTAGGGTAAAAGTCTTGAAAAACGCGCGTATACATGGGTGTTGATTCCTGCAGATAAAATATTCGTAAAATGGCAATAGTAGCGCTTGTATAGGCTATGTTTACATGGGTGTCGTTTGACGGTTTTTTGCAAACGAAATATCCGTGAAAGATTGTACCGGTTTGAGAATTCCCTTTTGTTTTCCGTTGTAAAGGACATGATCTGAGAATTGAGATGTAAACTGAGTATGGCATGATTTTTGGGAAAGAAAATGTAAAACGTTGTGATCATAAGCATTACATATGCATTTAACTTTTATATCTTTATTAAGATTCATATATTGTGTTGGATTATTTTTACTGGGTTTTGGCTCACCCTATATGGGAAAACTATTTTAAGGTTTTAGAGAGATGCCTCCGCCATGACAGTAGCTTGGGAGGATTGGAGCAAGAGCTTCATTTTGTTCACTCGTTGTTAATATTTTGTACAAGCTTATGGCTTTATCTGTATTGGATTTAAATCCATTTTGATGTAACCAAGTACAGTCTTGAAAAATTGTAGTCTTCAGGGCATTTCTATTATCTGTTTAACTTCTGTTTCACATAGTTGTTGTTGTTGACACATGTTATAGATTCAGGGTTAGGAGGACTTATGAATGTATATTCGCATATGTCACCCTTTTGTACAATTGAGTCTTATGTAATGGAAATATATTATACTCTGATTCACATTGTTATTTACATATCGTAAGGGATGGTTTATCGTATCTATTTCGGGGCGTTGCATTTGAAATGTGAATGGTTCAGATTATTGAAATGGGTCCCGAAATTGGCCAATTCGTCTGCACAACAGTGGCTGTTGTGCACCCCTGCACAACAGCCACCCCAAATCTGTGGGTTCCACGCATGTAAGACATTTGGTATAAATTTACTAGAATTTTTAGAGTATCTAGCATTACTCACAAGTTATAGAACAAAAGCATAGCAAATTAAATTCAATAAGGAAATGTTATAGGTCCCAAATTTTTTACCAAATGAGTGATCAAATGTCTCACATAGGTGTGAGATCCATAAAAGTGTGGACCCCACAACCATGTGAGACGTTGAGTCATTCATTTGGTAGAAAATTTAATATTTTTAACATTACCAAATTCAATATATTGATTACTTTTCAAGACTGCGTGATCATTTTGCAAAGGCAATGATTAAGAAATGATTATTTAGTTAATGAGGATGATTTCCACAAAATTTTCCTATCCTTGTAATAATAATAATAATAATATTATTATTATTAATTTATTGATAAATACAGTTCATTTACATGTAACATATCATGTGCTAGCTACTTTTGCAATCCAAATGGCAATGCACCCACAACTTGCACACTCCTCCTTTTTCCCTTTATTTGCTTATTTATTTTGTTTGTTGAATTTTTTTAGCAATCCAGTTCACATGTCAGTCTGTCTTAGTTCATCTTGTTTTAAATATAGACTCTGCGAGCCGATTTTATTTATTTATTTTTAATACCTTTTTTAGATAGAAGCATATGGCCAAGAATCCCAATCCCAAACGTTGCTGTCTATCTGTTCCAAACAATGAATAATTATGGTATTGAAAATAAGTAAGAATCTCTATACTTATCCAACGGTTATAGATGTTTTTGAACGGACATAGTTACAATTGGGGATAAAAGTTTTTGGCCAAGAAATAATAGTCATGAGACATTACAACAACAATAGATAAACATGACCTTCAACTATTTATTTAATTTTTCCAAATTTATAATATATTACAGTTCAAAATCTATAAAACAGAACCAATAGTCACACATACAAAACAGCTCAAGAACCATCTTGAAAAAATTTTAATACCATTTTAGTTGCTAGATATGTACACACCAGATAAATAAAATAAAGTAATTCATGTAAGAGATATATAAAGGGAGAAACTATTCCCATTCCATTTTGCTTTAAATATATTTATTTTTTTGTCTTTATTATGCATAGTTATGTTAATACCTTTAAAATTTTAATTTTTCAAAAAATTGAGTGTATTTGGGATAAAGTAAAATGAGAATAGGGGCTCTCATATATATAACTGGTGGAATTCTTTAAATCGAAATTAACAGATAAGATAAATATTTTATGATATACAAATATAGTTGTTATAGCATTATTGATTATCATGAAGGAGCTTATTTTTTACCAAAAACAATAAGAAAAGTCTAGCCACCCTTAAAATGAACCAAAAAAAGAACCAAAATGATCAAAGTAATTTATATATTATTGCTGAAAATAATAAGGATTTCAAATGAAAATAGTTTTGATCGATTTCTCTACATATACACTAAACTCAAAGCAAAAACACCAAAATGATCAAAGTAATTTATCAATTTACAGTCACAATTGTACAGTATACACTTCACACCTAGATTTTATTTATTTATTTATTTTTAGTCGGAATGTACAAGATAAAACAAGCTTTAGAAAAAGAAAAAAAAAATGTTTTACATCTTTTTCTTTCTCTACTTGGTGAGAACATTGAGCAGTGAAACCCTAGTGTTAATCAAACTCCTAAACACTCTCTCACTACAAACTTCAATCCCAACAATACAATCCTCCAACCCATGCATTCTCTTCAACACCATTTTCACTTCTTCTTCTTCACCACCATGTCTCTTCTTTCTCAAACCCAACAACAAGCTCTCTATTCCAACTAGCTGAAACTCTTCAATACCCTCCTCCACCTTCACTCTCTTCCTCTTATTCAACAATCTCATTCCCATCCACGTCGACTTTCGCGACAGAAACGCCGACGAAATACCATTAAAAAGCGCCACCGAAACCAACACAGTCAACTCATTAACATCTCCGATAGCTTCTGCCAGCTGAGCATCGCAGTCCGGCACCCACGCGTAGCTGTTTCCGATTGATCGGACGGTGGAAACGAGCTTACTCATTTCTTTACCGAATTTGTTTATAGCCTTTAAATAGCAATCCAACTTAGAATAGTCTTTTCTCCTTATGGCCACTTGAGCCGCCGAGAGTTCTTGTTTGAGAGCCAAGACGAGGGTCTGGAAGATTCCGTAAACGTCGATAAAGCGGAGAAAGGCTTCTAGAAGGTTCTCGATTGAGTCGGAGTGGTGGCGGAGCGAGTCGTGAGTTTGGGGGAGATGGAGGAGGTCGTCGAGGTAGTCTTGGATGGTTTTGAGGCGGGTCAAGCCGTCGCAGAGCCAGGCAGAGGTTCGGGTGTCGGGTTTGGATCTCCAGGATTTGAGGAGGGTGTTGTGGTCCTTGAGGAGGGAGATCAAGGGATGAGATCTGCAGGGGAGACTGGTGGATCTGACGTGATGAGGTTTTCTGGGTTTTGATGAATGGTTTGGGAAGGAAAGGGATCGTCGGAAATTGGCGACCATTTTTGAGGTCATTTTTGTGTTTGTTTGTTTGTGAGAGAGAGAGAGAGAGAGAGAGAGAGAGAGAGTGTTTGGTGTGAAGGAAAATTAATGGAGGTTGGGGGAGTTTATAAGGCGGGGGAGACAACGCGGATGGAGAGTTTTTAGAGAGAGAGGCGCACGAGGGGGTGACAGACAGGTGGGGGAGACTGGATCCGCGAATAAATCCATCTGTTTCGGGTCATGTGGGCTTGGGGTTCTGTTGGGATAGTTTAAGCTTAAATTTGATATGGATGAGTGTATTATACAAAAAATTTAATGCCAAAAATAAAAAAGGAAAATCATATTAATTTTTTAAAAAAATTTAGATTAAGAATAAATAATTAAGGAAATTAAAAATTATAGGACCAATCATAAAAAATAATTATATGGCTATACATATCTAATGGTGAAATTCATCATCAAAAAGTTTGTTTTATTCAAATTACTATACCGGTATTTTGTTTAGTTAGTTATGTGTTTGATTTTGTATTTTTAGACTTCATTCGTTTGTGATTAAAAAGTTAGGGATTGTTTGGAATAATCTAAATAAATATATTTTTTTACTTTTTATGAAAAGATGTATAAAAAAATAGAAAGGTAATGTGACCCAAATAAGTACACTTATTTAATTTATGCCAAATAATACCTTAGTCTATTGGTTAGAAAACTCATTTTACTAAAAATACGTTAACTCAATTGCCTAACTCATTCCTTGCAAAAAAAAACTTTAGCCACTTAAATAAAATGTTAGAAGAGCTAAATAATTAAGAAGATATCAAATAAGCTAACTCTTTTTGCATTAATTTTTTTGTAAACTTATTTTATCAATAAATTAGTTTTTTTTAGCTAACTCACAAAAAGCTTTTAGACTAGTGATTAATATTCACAATTAACTTGTTATGATCATGTAAATCAATTATGAAATTAATTATAAAATAAATATTTTTGTAGGTTATGGATGCATCTATATTTTGTGTGATATAAGGATTATCTCAACAATTAAACGGTGTATATAATTATAAATGAACTTAATAGTATATAATTTAAATTTAATATAAAAATTTAACGAATTTTAAAATATATTCAACCGTGAGTGATTTACATAACTCCAACTCATGTATCATTGTAGCAAAGTGGTTTCCTCTAGTTGTCAACGTCATCATAATAGAAATTGTTATCCTACTTCTATTTAGGAACTTTTTTAGATACTCATCGATTCTACTTGGATCAATGTAATATCTACATTAAAAAAAAAAAACTTTAGAATTTGATCACATAAGATATGGATTCAGTTTTTAGTTATTTTCTATAATTTTATACCAAACTTCTTATATAGGTGTGTGAGACCCACACAAATTCACATATATGTGGATCCCATATCTATATTTGATAGAATTTTTAATAAATCATTTGAGATCTCTAGTATAACTCAACAACATAAGATCTAGATTCAGTTATTAAAAATCTATTAATTAAGTGTATATTGTGTAGCATTAAGTGTTGCGGATCCATTTTATAAGAATAATGACAAAAAAGTCTAGCGGCCTAGATTTAACCACTCCGATTTTTTTGAACGGGAGATTGTGCGGTAAAGATTAAATATGTGTGGTGTGAAGGTTTATATGTAAAATAAATTTAAACTATAAGATAATAATTTTGAATAATTTATGAATAATTAAGTTTAAATTCATAATATCTCTAAAATAATAATATACGATTAATAAGGAATAAGTGCGCTCGACATTTGGAGCCATCATCATTGGTGTGTTTATTAAATTTAAAAGGTCTACAATTTACTAAATTTTCCATCTTTGTCTACTATATTTTTAAATGTATTATTGTTTAATTTGGACTAGCAATTTTTAGTCTAAGTCTTTATTAAATTTAAATGTATATTAATCAAATTTTAAATTTTTTTTGGTTGAAATTTAGTTATTCTGGTTGGGCATGTTTGTGTTACACCCCTAACTAAGATAATACTATTCTTTTAGATTAATTACACTTTTTTTTTTCAATTATATCAAATTAGATATTTGTAAAAAACTGTAAAGAAGTCCCATTATGAAGATGTGAAAGTGAAGCAATTTTAATTATTAAATTTAATTGTGTAATTTTTAAAAGGGAGATAATAAATAACTGAGTAGACAAAATGTAATTAATTATTTTTTTGTAAATGAGCAGAACGGTTTTAAAGCCGGCGGCTTCTATGATTCTCCGCTCCGTCCATTTGTTTTAATTTCATGTTAGGAAAGGTCATTTTTTTGTTTACCAAAAGCAAAAAGGGTTTTTGTTTTTTTGGGTGGGGACATGACATCCAACCAATTGGGAAGGAAGCATTTGCAAGTATAATAATCTTATGTTTATTCTTTTTTATTTACCACGTATTATGACTATATTATTTTAATGGGTAAATTATAAACACTCTCTCGAGATTTGGTGAAAATACAGATTCTCTCTTAAGATTTGAGAAATTACAAATTGTCCTCTGAGAGTCAAATTTTCATAACAAATTAGAGAAAATTAGGAAGGAATTTGTATGAAAATAAAAACCTTAGGAAGCAATTTGTTATGAAAATATAAATCTTGAGGGGTGGGATGTAATTTTTCAAACCTCAGGGTGAAATCTGTATTTTCACAAAATCTCGAAGGGGTGTTTGTAATTTGCCCAATTTTAATTGGTTGTACAATTTATGTGTCTATTAATAGAACACATTATTATATAATAAAACTATTCAATTATTATAACATTATAATTGTCATTATCATACTAATGAACATTTAAAAATAAATAAATAAATTCAAAGCAAAAACAAAAATGGTATTTATCAAATATAATATTACTATTTTCTAATAATTTTTATATACCATAAAATTGGTAAAATTAATATCAATAAGTGTGTTGATGTGCTGATGTTGGAAGAATATTATATTTGTGAATATATACATTGAAAAATGTTTATATTAATAAAAAATTAAATAAAACGGTGTGTTAAATTTTTATTTATTTATTTATTTTTTTCCTCTTCTAATGAATGGATGTAAATGGGCGATATTATTCTGTACACAAATCTTGTTTGTATTTGATATTTGAGTAGTTATAGTGTCTTTGTTCAACTTAAACAATAAGATTTACTATATTTATATTTAAAAACAACATAAAAAGATAATTATTTATAATTAATGAAGCATTATCACAAAGCATACGTGGTACCTTATCAAAATCGAATAACCCTTTTCTAAAACAAGACTTGATCAAAACCAGAGGACCACAACGACCATTAGGTGGTCCCAAATATATTGGGTATTAGGTACCAAAATGATGCCCAAACAGCCCCCAAATTCGTAAAAATGGTTAAGACTAGAGGTGGCGTGACCGTTGACTCTTATGCTGCCTTCTCCACTTATTGGGCCGAGTACGTATTTTTATTTCAGAGGAAATTATTTAATAGAGGGACATAAAAAAAAATTTTACAAAAATATGGAAGGGACAAGTCAGTTTGTAATGGAATACAAGTGAAAACTTATCAGGGTGTAAGTATGACCTGCACCTCTCAATATTTATGTATTTTCTTTATATTTATCAAGCTGTTAAGTAATTTTCTATTTATTTAATGATATCTTATTATTAATTTAAAAATTTTATTTTATTTTTACTGTCATGTATTTATTTATCATTGGTTTAGCACATAATCACTGTAAAATTCTCAAAATGCATGATAATTACTCTTCTATTAATATTAGTTGAATATCAGGTAGAATAAATTGAGCAGATTAAAAATATAAAATGAAAAAAAATATTAATGAACACACAATTTTATTTTATTTTATCAATTTTAAATAAAAAATATTATTTATTTCAAATTCTGGCATCTAATTAATTGAAATATATAATGTTATTTAAAATTATATTTCAAAAATTAATATATAGAATAATCAAATTAGGAAAAAATATGAACAAAAATTAGAAATATGTGTCATCCGATTAAATAGTATTAAGTTTAAAGATTGATTATGTAAGCAAATGTAAAGTAATTTTAGACATACATATGGATGGGTTATGGATTGAATCAGTTTGCAAGTAGATTGACAAATTCTAACTTATAATACAATTAATTTGTTAATTTTTATCATCAACTTGTCTAGCCCGATCTACTTTACGTTTTTGGAACTGACTTGAATTGGCATGGATAGGCGGTTTGACATTTTTCTCAACACCCCTAGTATCGATGACTCCATCAAACTCTTATATATGACTCCAACAACTGTATTGCAAAATTACAAAAAAAAAAAAGAAAAAAAAAAGTAGTAATTAATTGAATACAAAACATGCATACACGACACATCAAACTGTCAAGCTACCAGTTTTTTTTAATAATTGAGTGATGTTAGAGACCTTAAATAATTTATTAAATCTTTTACATGAGTGTGGGACCCACACACATGTAAATTTGTGTGAATCTCATACTCATGTAAGAAGTTTGATAGAAATTTAATAGATTATTTAGAATTTATAACATTTTTCTTAATAATTTAAGCCGTGTTAACTAGACGTCAGTTATGATTTTCAAAGGTCACCATGCTCTAGCTAGGCTCATTTTGTCCAGAGCATGACTTTCTCTCTCCTCTTCTTTCTGTCTCTCCTCCTAGTCTAGAATACATACAAGAGAGGTGCATGCTTGGTGGTGAAACATGACAGATAGTATACAAAGAAGTTGTCCCTCCCTCCTGTTAGGGAAAAACGATGTGATTCTCCACAAGTAAATCAATCAATGGGAATAAAAACTAATGCGGAAAAATTAAATCAAAGGCAACACAAGAATTTTACGTGGTTTCCTCAATGTGAGGTACGTCCACGGGATCGAAATCCGATTCCACTATCAACCAAATAATTCCAAACGATTACAAACGAGACACTAATGGTCTCACAAAACCACCCTTAGGTGAATTCTAAATAATCACAAATAAACAAAGAGGAAAGACCT